TTCATGCCCATACCCTTCCTTCATTTGAACCTTTGGTCATTTGCTCATTGTACCACCTTTCACTAAAAATGTATTTCTTGCTCCTTCTTCGCATGTGGATATCATAGAACAGATATTTTCGCTATCAATGTCTCACATATCCTTCATTATAGTTTTTTCCCAAAATGTTAGCAGTGTGTGTGAAGAGGACATCATCTTCACTCTTATTTTCCTTTCTTCCATCTCTCATTTGTATTCTCATGCTGATCCTAATCATCTTGTTTGTCCAGTATGTGCTCTATGTTGTTATGTTGCCTGCACTGCTTCCTTCTTTGGATCCCATTTCTGCCTATTTATACCATAGGATACTCCTTCTACCTGTGATTCTCTCCTGTCACCCTTACTAGATGGATTTGCCAAATTATTCAGCTTGCTTATGCATCATTATCTGAGAATTCCCATCACATTTTCCTAGTCTCCTCTCACCAAGTACATCATCTCACATTTTCCACGGCTGCCTACTTTTATTGCCTGTTAGAAGAGATTGTACAGGCTGGCATATAGACCACACCTCACACTTCTTTAGCCCACTACTTGCATCAATTGGCCATCTCCTCTTCACCTGGCTATTGCTTGCCATCTTCCATACCTCATTTTGACTATGAGAGGTTACATTATTTCTTTTTATTTCTTACCATTACAGTGACCTATTCTCTTTTCTTGGATTCTGTTCTTTGGTGAATGGTACCTTTCCAGGTTTATTTCAACCAATTTCACTCAGCTGAGAGTAGGGTGATGGTGTTCTGTTGATGTAATTGGTGAGTACTCTCTCCTAAAATGGACCAGAAGAAAAATACCCGATGCTTCCTGGTTTTGGACTGAACAAATCTGTCATATGTGATCACCCCTCCGGCTGGCTTTTCCCCATCCTACCTCTGCCTGTTGGTTCCTGGGTGGTCTGGTGTTGGATTGGTGTAGGACCAGCCAACATAAGTGCTCACACATGAGGAATTGAAGAAAAATTTCTGATGCTGCCTAGTTTTGGACTGGAGTCCACTCATCACATTGCTTTCCCCACTCTTTCTATTACCTGGATGTTGGGTCCGCAGGTGGCCTGGTGTTGGTTGTTTATTAAGTCTGCACACACATGCCTTGGTTGGGATGGTGGAATGGACGTTGTTTTCCCTTCTTCTTCCTGGTCCTAAGATGAAGATGTTTGGGCCCCTCTTCCTACCTTGAACTGGAAGATAAATACCTGGTTCCACCTGGTTTTGGACTGGAGTTGACTCACCTAATATGGTTTGACACATCCTAATCACTGTACACCACCTGGCACATCCAATTACATATTGTACGTGCATTCTTTCTGTCCTACTTTGTGACACATATCCTTCAAATGGGTGAAGAGTATTCATGGTACAAATCTAGTGTGATGTCCTACAGGTGTGACCCCATACATTAGGGTATCACACTTCATGGGTACTTTGGGTGCCTTCCAAAGAGGGCTCATCTAGGTAACTTTTGCACCAGTCCCTTTATTGTTTCAATTTGGGATTCTAGCTATTATGTGAGAGGACGTAAGGTATTGTATCGGAATTTAACATTTTCCTAAGCTGAAAATGTATTTACTATAGATACTTTCCTCCTCTCATATTTCCCACCCATCCTTCCCACTTCTGGTGCATCATTTTTGCTTAATCTTGAAGTGATGACAGTGCTCTACAGTATAGAGAGGGGGTCAGCTGCACTAGGAGTGTGTGTCACACTCCTATTGGTGCATGGTTGTCGCATGGTCATTTGCATGCTACAGTGTAGCTATACTATATGTAAACACATGTGGATAGGTTGGAGCATCAAGGCTAGTGGAGAACAAAAACTGTGCATATAGAGAGCAGCACTAATCGAGGAAAGCTATCACATGAGAGGAGGTAAGTATCTATTGGAAATACATTTTCAGTGTAATAAAATGTTAATATATCATCTAATTACATTTGTCAACTGTCTTATTCTCTTGCATTTCATTTTTACTAACTCTTAGATGAGATCCTTCAAGCTGGCATGTGGATGAATCTGCACACATTTGTCTACCATTATTTTTATCTTCTATTTGTTTCATCTTCTGTAAAATTTTGACTCCCTCTGGTTGCTGTTCTTTAAGCTCCACACCGTCTTTGAGAAGGGTAAGTACATTTTCTTTTTCATTACTCTTGCCTCACCCTTTTCACTCTTATAGCATCATGCCAGGTGGCTGTTGCTGCTTCCCAGGGTATGTTTATCTCACAAAATTCACATTGGGCTAGTGATAATGGAAAGTGCTCAACCCATCTGCACTGGCTCTTCCAGTGCCCACTGTCAAGATGGGATGTTCTGCAAGACTACTAGAGGTATTCTCATGGTATTAATAGTACTCAATTGCCTGTATCTTCTGTGGACTATCATAGAAAAAACCAGCACCAGGAAAGTGACTGCCCACTTCTTTGGCTTGTGCTTACCTACTTTTTAATACAGGGTTTTGCAGTCACCCATTGCACAGTTTACAGTAAAAAACCTTTCCATCTGACATTCGATAGGATTGTGGGCACTTCTCTGAGTCTCCCCAGTGCGGATTATCCCCTCTTCTTCAAGTAGAGCAACTTACCATACCTAGCCGTTGAAGTGATAGACCTTGGAGAGTTCCTCACTGATTGTGTACAGTACAATACGGTAGGAAGTAGGATGGTGATGACATTGTCTGTGTGGTGTGGGGCACCCCTCAAACAGCTATTTTGCCCTGCTCCTGCAACAGGACGTTTCATCACCCCTGTCTCTATCTGTTCAGTTGATTTGAGGTCAGACATACACATTATGGTCTGACTGCACCCTAACCACACACTACGTCTTGGCTTGCCAACCACATATGGGTGGGTGCTTGGTTCATCATGTAAAAGTTATGTCCATCCCTGCAACACTTGGGACTCTTTTTTTCCCCTTTCTTTCCGGCATAGAGTATATCCGTGTCACGATGTGATCTTCCATCTTGTGTCATACACCATGGGCTTTACCTTAGGGCAGATAAGGAAGATATTAATTTCCAAGATGATACCTCACTCCTCACACAGTATAGCTAGAATGCAACATTGAAATGGTGCAGGAGCCAGTGCAAACATTAAACCTAGACAAACTCCCTTCAGAAAGCAAAAATGTATTTCTGATAGATATTTACCTCTGCATACCTTCCCATCCATCCTCTCCTCTTGCCTCATCTGAGAATGAAGTTATTTTGAGCATAACTACTTAGGGGGGGGGGGGTTATTTCGCAAGAAGGTTGTACTGCTCTCATATTGGTTGAGGGCTGTTGTTGCATGATGATATCATTATGCGTTAGCACAGTTCATGTTAAACACATTTTTAGTTGGTATGTAGTTCAAGGCTAGTGGCATGTAAGTATCACTGGCAAAAGTGCAAATGAATCAAGCTATTCTTTGTGCAGAGGAGAGTATCTATCAGAAATGCATTTTCAGGAAAGGAAAATGTGGTTAACTTTACGCTATTTAACACTTGAATATGCAAAGAGTTGAAAATGGGTACTGCCAGCTATTTGACTTACCTGTATTGGGCTGTTCAAAATTAGCAACTGTGAAATAGCCTTAGTATTTGTAGCTTTTCAATAACAAAAACAGGGCAAGCAAGTTTAGTGGCAATGGGAATTTAACCAGAGACCAAAATCATGAGCCCTGTCCTCCCAGTATGTATTCTTGACAAAAAACAAACATAGTGGCAATATTTCCATTACTTGAATAGTTGAAATAAACAGAAACCATAATTTGGATTAGTTGATTATTTTTGTGTCAGCCAATTTGATTGTAATTTTGATTAACTGATTGTTGGAATAATTGAAAACATTCATTTTGATTAATTATAGTTCTGATTAATTTAAAAAACACTAATCCATGTAATTGCTGCTTATAAGTAATTCTTAGATGTACACAACTGTTTTAGTTTAATTTTGATGCAAGTGTTATGATTTAGATAGTTTATATTATGAGAATGTTTAATTAGTTATTTTTAGAAGCAGTGGTTTATCACGGGGTTTTTTACATAACTGTTTACCAATTATATGATGTGCAGTTCAATACTTATGAATTGGTGATTGTTATATTATTGTGCCATGTTACTTGAACCTTCTGAGTTTTTATCATTGTTTTAATTGAGAATTTTTGCATCATAATATCTAGTAGTGTATGGAAAATTTTAGACCTCTGTTGGGGTATAAGTACGCGTCAAAAAATGTAGTTTGAAAGATAGATCTAGACATTGTGATTGTGAGTTTAGCCATAAAGAGCGTATAGTGGCAATTTTTGTCTGTGAACTGTCACAACAGATCTGGAAGAATAATTTGTCTGGTCAGATTGTGTTCTTAAGTAACTGAACCAATCTGTGTGGACTTTGACGAAAAGTAACAATTATTTAAAGCTCTGGATACAACTGTGATAACCAACAGTGTAACGAACATTTGTATATTTATATTTGGCTTGTTTTAATATATTATTTTAAAACAAGTGGACTGTGTGCTGCTTGTTTATTGTTAAAATTTATCGCCAACAAGTCACAGACACCTACTGTAAAGAATCCAGCCCATACAAAACCTGACAGTAATTAATTAATTGAATTACTTAGCTCTACTGGTTTCTTGGAATAGTCAAAAGCAATTGATTGATTAAATTAATCATCCAGCTATATATCTTGTATTATTCTTAATTTAATTCGTAGCAATTGTTTTTAAATTACTCTTAATTTTATTCTTTGTAAGTGTTTTATGTTACTCTTAATTTGATTCTTAGTAAGTGTTTTATGTTACTCATAGTTTGATTGTTAGTAAGTGTTTTATCTTACTCTTAATTTGATTCTTAGTGAATATTTATATTATTATTAATCTTTTAACTATTCTCACTACATAAGATATTACAGTTGTTAAATGAATTACTATACAGTTTTAAGGACTTTTATAGTAGTAATTGTCTTAACCCCTTTTTATCTTTCAGATCCTAACATACTTTCTACTGCACCAGAAAACTTCAGTGAAAGCAGTTACTTGTTGTGCTGTTATTATAATTGGGTTTCTACTAGGAGTGGATCAAGAAGGTGTTGCAGGTATCCTTTTACCACTTCTTTGCTTGTAACACTTATGTCTCTCTCATAGCCTATGAATACTATTTATCAGCACCCTTGACATTTTATCATTGTAGCAAAACTGTATTTTTATTGTACTTTTTTTTTTCAAAATGAGTTTGGAATAGAGTTGGAAATTAAATCAGTTAGGTGATGCCACAAATAGTGTTAATAGATGTCGTTTGATTTGCTCCCTGTAAATTACCACTTCACCACAAATCAAACCACACTCACTAACATTATCCATAGTAATACCAATGACAACAGCTCTCTATAAGTTAACATTTCACCAATTAAATTACACTTACTAATGTTATCCATGTCAGTACATCTCCAAGTTACCACTTCACAAATTAAACCACACTCTCTAACATTACCCATAGTAACAGCTCCCTGTAAATTATCACTTCACCATTATTAAGTGAAGTTTGATTAGTGAAATGTTAACTTATAGAGAGCTGTTGTCATGGGTACCATTATTAAGTGAAGTTTGATTAGTGAAGTTGTAACTTACAAAGACTGTTGCTGTGGGTATGATTTTTAAATGTAATTTGATGATGAGGAACCCAATTTTGGAAAATAAATTTTGGAAATGGCTTGAATGTGTAATGAAAAAACTATTACAAGTAACAAACTTACAACATTTTGACAAGCTTTCTCATCATCAGGTACAAGTGTCTTGCGCAGACAATAATTACATGCACAATATGGAACAAAGAGTTTAAATGACTGGTAATTACTTAACAGCTTAGTGAAGATACCCCAGGGTGTTGCTTTAGTGTAGAGCTGTTTTGATCAATTAAGATGGCTTCCTTTACTTTGTATTTCTTGATATTTGGTTCTTTGTTTAATCTACAGTGTTTTGAATAGACATACTGTAGTTTTTTTTTAGTTACAATGGTGGTGCACATGGGAGGATTTTTTATTATGATCGATGAATCTGGTTTCTAATTTTCTTCCAGTTTCTCTGAATTCTGGACAGTTATTACACTTTATTTTACAAACAATGTGCACTTTTTATTTAGTAATGATTTTAATTGAGTGTTGGGTTTTTGAATGAATTTAAAATTGACAGGAATTTTATGTTTGATGGCAAGTTTTCTCTAAGTGTTGATTATTTTTTAACTAGTGTCAGAGGTGAATGGTAAACTACAGTATAATGTTGTTTGGTTTATTAGTGTCAATTTTGTTTGGGAGTTGAGTTTTGAGGTTTTTGTTCTGGTGGTTGTGAGAGAATTTTTTGACAATAGTTGGGGCAGATTTGTTGGTGTGTCTGAAGGAATCTGTATATATATAAACGAAATGTGGGTTTGTTTGCATCCTAACCCCTCCTATTGGGCCAATCTCAATCAAATTTGTATCTAAACACTATGAACCGTGGGGAATGTCCTGAGGGGTCAAAATTGAAATTAACCCTATTTCTATTTTGTAAAGGCTTTTGGTTAATTACTCCCACCCTATTGAGTCAATTTCAAACAATCTTGGCAGGTTGGTCCCTTAGTAGTGAATATTCTAAAGGGATTTAAGGTCAAAGTATGAAAGTTACTGGATTGTTTCCTAAATAACCATGCTTATCTTATGGTCAATGAGATGTAGGACATTCAAGGGTGGGATCAGCTCAAAATCTTTATTTGTTGATGGATGGAAAGCAAACTGCAAATGTTGTTTATGTAAAAGCTTTGTTATGATTTAAAAATTTTGAGATAAAGTTTATGTTCAGGTTATTACTTTGAAATATATGATTGCTGTTAAACTTACATCATTTTAATTAAGTTTAAACATTGCTGTCAGCTGACTGGTATTTCAGCTTGTGCTTAATAAAGTTGATTTCTCTCATCTATGTAGTTAGCTGAGAAAAGTCTTGAAGCTGTGTTTATACAGTTTTTTAGTGTATTGATATTTTGTTTGGATTCATGTGTGGAATTCCAGATGTTATGGCCTGTGTAGGTGATTTTTTTGGTGAATTTTGGTTTTGAACTATGTGTAAAATCTAATAATGTTGAGGTTAAGAAAAGATTTTCATATTTGATGGTGATTTTAATGTTAGGTTGCATGGAGTTTTACTTGTTCAAAGAAAGTGTGTTTGTGTTCGGTAGAAATAAAACCAGCAAAAATGTCCGTAACATAGCTGTACTGGTGTAAGGGAGAATGAAGTACAGATTGTATAGCTTTTGTTTTAATTTGGCTTATAAATATGTTGGAGATAACAAGTGAAACAGGATTGTTCATATATTTCAACCATCTGTTTGAAGAAAGCTTTTGTTGTTGTACATTCTAAGAGGGAAACAAAAAGTGTATTGGGAATATGAATTAAAAGAGTGGAGTCATTAAGGTAGAAGTTGACTCCAATACTACAAGCTTCCATTACGGGAACTTTGGTGAAAAGTGACTCATCATCAAAGCTAGTCATTAAAGCTTTAGAGTTTAGTTGGTTTAATGTATTTCTGAAATTAAAGACAACTTTGAAATAGGAAACTTCAGATGTTATGTGTGGAGTGAGAGCCTAGGCTATGTATCTGCCAAGAATGGAGTTAAATGAGTCATAAGTGGATAATATAGGTTGCATGGGGTTTTCCTGTTTGTGTGGTTTAGGAATCCCATAGAGTTGACAGTTTGCAGTCAGTTGAATGGTTAGAATATACATAACTTCTAAATTACATACGAACTGCATTGGGCACATTAGGAAAAATATTGTTAGAAGGAACATTGTCGAAGCATTCTTATAAACAGTTTTAAAATGGAAAACAAGTATTAAAGTGATGGAAATTGATTTTCGAAATTAAAAGAACTTTTTTTTTGCCCTACAATGGATCTGCAAGAGAAAAGAGGAAAATCACTGTACGAGTTGTTCATCAAGTTAAATAAAACTGAAATTCTTCAAAGTATTATAGGTAGAACAGATTGTACGAGTTGTTTATCAAGTTAAATAAAACTGAAGTGTTCTACCTATAATACTTTGAAGAAGATTGTACGAGTTGTTCAAGTTAAATAAAACTGAAGTGTTCTACCTATAATACTTTGAAGAAGATTGTTCGAGTTGTTCATCAAGTTAAATAAAACTGAAATGTTCTACCTATAATACTTTGAAGAACACTGTACGAGTTGTTTATCAAGTTAAATAAAACTGAAGTGTTCTACCTATAATACTTTGAAGAAGATTGTACGAGTTGTTCAACAAGTTAGATAAAACTGAAGTGTTCTACCTATAATACTTTGAAGAAGATTGTACGAGTTGTTCAACAAGTTAGATAAAACTGAAGTGTTCTACCTATAATACTTTGAAGAAGATTGTACTAGTTGTTCATCAAGTTAAATAAAACTGTAGTTTAATTGGTGAAGTGTTAACTTTCAGGGAGGTGTTGCTATAGGTAACATTACTAAACATTGTTTATTTGGTGAAGTGTTAACTTCCAGGGAGGTGTTGCTATAGGTAACATTACTAAACATTGTTTATTTGGTGAAGTGTTAACTTCCAGGGAGGTGTTGCTATAGGTAACATTACTAAACATTGTTTATTTGGTGAAGTGTTAACTTCCAGGGAGGTGTTGCTATAGGTAACATTAATAAACATAGTTTATTTGGTGAAGTGTTAACTTCCAGGGAGGTGTTGCTATGGGTAACATTACTAAACATAGTTTATTTGGTGAAGTGTTAACTTCTAGGGAGGTGTTGCTATGGGTAACATTAATAAACATAGTTTAATTGGTGAAGTGTTAACTTCTAGGGAGGTGTTGCTATGGGTAACATTAATAAACATAGTTTAATTGGTGAAGTGCTAACTTCTAGGGAGGTGTTGCTATGGGTAAAATTAATAAACATAGTTTGATTGGTGAAGTGGTAACTTCCAGGGAGGTGTTGCTATGGGTAAAATTAATAAACATAGTTTGATTGGTGAAGTGCTAACTTCTAGGGAGGTGTTGCTATGGGTAAAATTAATAAACATAGTTTATTTGGTGAAGTGGTAACTTCCAGGGAGGTGTTGCTATGGGTAACATTAGTAAGTTTAGTTTGATTGGTAAAGCTATAATTTAGAGGAGCTGGTGTAATGAACATTAAAAGTAAGAAAAAATGATGAAATATTTACATATGAGGGGATTTGATAGATAAAATTTGCTCGCTTTGTATTAATTGACCAATATTATATGTTACTTGTAGTTATTTTCATTGTATTTTGTACTTGCAACATTGGATGTTTTGGTTTGTGCCAGGCATGGTGAAACCCAAGCTGTAGAAGTTAAGTACTTTACAAAAATTATTCTTAGTTTTTCCTGTAGGAGAACAGAGATCCAACTTGTTGTTTTATATTTGAACGTGACAACTTAACTTTATATGTTCATAGTTTACTAAAATATACAGAGTAGTGTTTTTTTATACTGATTTTTTTAGAGAACATAATTGTAACTGGCTGACATTGACCACCAAACTTGACACTGTTAACCACAGATTATGAAGCAGTAACATACATATTTTCCTACATCTTGAAGTTACTGCAAACTAGATTAAATTTTTAACTTGTCCCATTTTGAATAACTTAGGGATATCACAAGATTAGTTAATAAGAGATATGACCAGTCTCACATAGCTTTCAGTAAGTGATAGTAGAAGTTAGTGTTACATATATTCTTTGTGTTTTATAAAAGAATTTTGTCATAACAATAAATTTAAAATGTTAATTAAATGATGGATTTGGAAAGGAATAACAGCAAATGACTACATCTCATGCACATGATAAAAACAAAAATTATTCAGTACTTCTGATGATAATATTTATAATATAATTCAGTGGCTGTGTGGCATGTAACTCCTGTGTGTCATGTAACTCCTCCTAAACTGTTGGTTGTATCGACTTTTAAGTGTTACCAAGTGTTACTGTTACTCTCAGTTCCAAGGTTTGCACGAAGGTAAAATTTTTCACCCCACCCCTTGCGAAAATCAGGATTTTCCTGAAAAACCCTTCTTATAAACTGCTGAACTCGCAAACTTCATCTCGGCCTCCAAGGTTTGCACCAAGGTAAAACTTTTCACCCAACCCCTTAGTAGTTCAGGTATTAAACCTGCATTATAACAGCCCTGAAAGTGTGGGCCATGGGCCCTTGGGTTCACTAAATGGTCCCAAATGTATTGTCTCGCCCCCGAGGTTTGCACAAAAGTAAAACTTTTCACCGAACCTCTTTGGGAACCTGGGTATTTTGTGAAAACACTTTTACAGGAGTTCCTTGAAATTGAACCCCAAATTTGGCATTGATTTACAATGGAGGATGTAAATACATAGGCCTGCTAATGACAGTTTGTAAGTTGGTCAAAAAAATTAAATTTGCATTAAAGAAGCAATGATCATTAAACTGCAAAAGTACAAAATAGCAGTTCAAGTATTAAATTATAGTGACCCTGTAAATGTGGACAATAGGCTTATGGGTTTGCTAGTAACTTTATATAATTTCACCCCATTCAAATAGTGTCTTTTTAAACCTGTATTTTAATAATCAGATGGTAAATCATGAAATATTTGGTATTTGTAAAGTTGAAAAAAACGTCAAATCAAGGGAAACAAAACAACTTTTTCTATACACATTTTCTCATTAAATGATGCAATACCATAAAAGTGTTTTATGAGGTTTTAACAGTTAATATTTCATTGATTTTTCTCCAGGATCTTTATCTGTAGTTGGTGTTGTTTATGGAGTCTTGGCCAGTTTATTTGTATCGCTGTATTCCATCTTTACGAAGAAAGTCTTACCTGTAGTTGATGGGAATGTCTGGTTGCTGACATTCTATAACAATCTGATCGCAGCCTTCCTTTTTCTTCCTCTTATGTATTGCACAGGAGAGATTCCCATTGTTGTGGGATATAAACATTTAACAGACCATGTATTTTGGGCACTCATGACCATGGGAGGAGCTTGTGGTTTGGCAATTGCATACATCACAGTACTACAGATAAAGGTAAATAAGTTTCGTGAATAATATTTTATTTTTCAAATATGCTTTATATTCACATTACAAGTGAAAGTAATATGATTAAAAAAAAGTAAATTGAACTTTTATTATATTGAACCATAAATAGTACCAGTTTACCAGATGACTACAACATGAAGTCATTGTTTCAAACATATCATTTGTGTATTAAGATTTAATACTCTGTTTCATCTCAGGTGACATCTCCTCTCACCCACAACATCAGTGGCACAGCAAAGGCATGTGCCCAGACATTGCTTGCAGTGACATGGTTTCACGAAGTAAAACCTACTCTTTGGTGGATGAGTAATGTTATTGTTCTACTTGGTTCTGCTGGCTACACTCGTGTCAAACAGCAGGAGATGCTACGAGCACATCAAGAAGCTACAGTTAGCAAAAGAGATGAAGATAAAACAACTGCATAATTATAAAATTCACTGATTTTAGGTAGTGTTTCATGTCCATCCAAAAGACAGTCGTGCAATGCAATTCCAAAATTTTCACAAGACATTAGGATTTATTGTTTTTTAAAGATAGGTTTATAATGCAACACATTTGAAGTGGTCTAATTTATTTTTCAAGTTCTGGGTGTTTGACAAAGTACTGTACAATTCTGCCTTTCTATTTGTTGAATGTCACGATACATATTTAAGTATTACTTGTCAATAATGCTAATTTAATGCATGCACATTACATGCTGTTGAGCATGTGGAGGTTCTTTTGATCATTGTTTTCAAGCTTTTTATATACTTTTGATTACATCACGACAATTAAATAAATTACCATATTGTTTCAAGATTTCCACCAGTAATAGTTTATAATAACATTTAGCCTCTGAAATGTGATTTCCAGTTTTCTCCTTTTAATAGCTTATAGTGTTAGTGCTTGAAAACACCCTGCAAAAATATTTATATACAATTGGGCATGAATTTTATATACAGAGCACGTGCATTGAATATGTTCTTTCATTGTTTTACTGTGCATTCAATAGGTTATCTGGTTTTAAAATGGATGTTTGACCGTGATAGTTTTTGTGGTCTTTCGTTAAGAAAATGCAACTTTTTAAAATTAAATTGTTGTAAATTAGGAAATTAAAAAGATCACAAAATTAATAGATCACAGTAGACAACATTCTTTAACACTCCTGTTATTAAAGATTTAAATAAGAAAATATCAAATTGGAATATAAGTTTTCTCAGTCATGATTTCTTAATTGTAGTTTATATTTTGACGTCATGAATAACAAGTAGTTGTGTAGAATCTGGTGGCTGACTTTATCTGGTTATTAATCATTACAGTTTACATTCATTATCAATCTTTCCCAAATTACTTGAAATGCCTTCTGATATCAGCATATTCACAGTTGGTAGATAATTTGGCTTAAATTGGAACCAAATAATATTTTATTAGCAAGCTATTTCCTTGCAATATTTCAATTCTTTATAGCTTCCCATTCTTGTGTCAATAAAGAGTGGTAAGTGTCACAAAGACTTTGTCTTTGTTAATAGTATACAGTACGTAGTCTAGTATCAACTAATTTGAGGCCTGAAACATACAGTACACAGTGTGTTGTTAGTTAACATCAAGAATTAACCAAGAGTTAATACATGTAATGCAAAGTGTAGTGTTAGTTAACTTGAAGAATTAGCCTATATTTAACATATACAGTGCACAGCATCTTATTATTTACTGTCTAAAATTAGCCTGTAGTTAACATATACAGTACACAGCATCTTATTATTTACTGTCTGAAATTAGCTTAGAGTTAACATATACAGTACACAGCATCTTATTATTTACTGTCTAAAATTAGCTTAGAGTTAACATATACAGTACACAGCATCTTATTATTTACTGTTAAAATTAGCATATAGTTAACATATACAGTACACAGCATCTTATTATTTACTGTCTAAAATTAGCCTATAGTTAACATATACAGTGCATAGCATCTTATTAGTTACTGTCTAAAATTAGCCTATAGTTAACATATACAGTACACAGCATCTTATTATTTACTGTCTAAAATTAGCCTATAGTTAACATATACAGTACACAGCATCTTATTATTTACTGTCTAAAATTAGCCTATAGTTAACATATACAGTGCATAGCATTTTGTTAGTTAACCTCTAGAATTAACCTTGATTTTTGATATGCACTACACAGTGTATTGTTTGTTAACATTGATACATGGTTCTCACAAGTCAGAGAAACCAGTAAAAGTCAATAATTATTATACTTTGCATTCCTAATCTGAGAAATATCAGAAAATTTAACTTGCAGACAAAAACAAGGAAAAGTCAGTGAATCTTGTGAGATTCAGTGATGCTTTTAGGACAAGGAAGACAAAAAATATCATTATCACCAAAACATCACGTTAGGTTAATTCTGGTGCATTTAGTAATTCAATATGTGTCTTTTAAGTTTCATGTACATCAATCTTTTTGTCTACTGCTAATTGTCATGGAATATGAAGCCAGCCATAATAGCTTACGTAAACAACAGCTAGGTTTCTGTCTAAACAGAGTGTAAGGGCTATGGAAAAGGCTTTGTCTCAGCTACCTAAAACTGTATCATAGAGGATCATTTTAAGACTTAAAAGCCCCTTAACAACTTACTACTTAGAGTTAGGCTGTTTCCAGTAAATAAGTTGTTTTGATCTTATAATTTTTAGTGCATTAATAAGACAGTCCCAATGAGAATAGTCAAAGAAGGAATGTTTAATACCCTGGGTATGTTATGTCATTGACATATTTGTGTGGGAAAGATTTAAAAAATGTCAAAATAATAACGAACAGTTTGATCATTTCAGTAAAGTCTGGCAGTTCAAAGATCAAACAGATCTACAGAGTTTTGGTGAGTTAGTATTTTATTTCATATCCGTACTTACATTTATTCAGTTAATCATCAAAAATAAGTATATAAAATAATAATATATTAGTAATTTTGTTTTAAATCATAACAAAACAAAATATAAATTACTAAACATTGCTCTTTGTGTACAGTATCATGAAGGATAGTACAGCTTGGGCAGGAGTCATTGACAGGTGATATTTACAAGAGACAGGTAGAATATCACTAGCGATAGTTAAAGAAAACCTGTATATACAGCTTGGGCAGGAGTGATTGACAGGTGATATTTACAAGAGACAGGTAGAATATC